TTTTTTTTTTTTTTTTTTCTGAGATGGAGTCTGTCGCCCAGGCTGAAGAGCAATGGTGTGATCTAGGCTCACTGCGACCTCCACCTCCTGGGTTCAAGCGATTCTCCTTGAGTAGCTGGGACTACAGGCACATGCCACCACACCCAACTAATTTTTGTATTTTTGGTTGAGACAGGGTTTCACCATGTTGGCCAGGATGGTCTCGATCTCTTGACCTCGTGATCCATCCACCTCAGCCTCCCAAAGTGCTAGGATTACAGGCGTGAGCCCCCACGCCCACAATGAACATCTTTTCATATCAGATATATGTTTTTACAACAGAATTTTCCTTCTCGAATTTTTATTTTTTGATGTGACTTGTTAAAATTGAAAACCAAAAATGCCCTCAAATCTTTGAAGTCCTATAGGATTGGGATAAGTAGGGATAATGAACAAATATTTTGAGTAAAACAAGCCTGATAGCAGTCATGGCAAGTAAGGGACATCCCGAAGAGGTTTTTCCAAAGTTAAAATACATTCCAAGGCCAGTCCTCTTGCCCTTCACTTAGACCCACACTCATCCTGCCCTTTGATTTGTAAATTTGCTTTGTTTCTGATTTACAGTAACCTGGAAAAAAAAATAGAAGTCTTTGAAATAATCTACTTTTTGTTATTTTCATTTTATTTTCTCACTTTATATGGTTTTTTATGTTTTTAAATAATTTCAACTTTTATTTTACATTCGGGGGTACCTGTGCAGGTTTGTTACCTGGATATACTGTGTGATGCTGAGGTTTGGGGTACAAATGACCCCACCACCCAGGTACTTCACATAGCACCCAGCAGTTAGTATTTTGGCCCTCTTCCCCAACCCCACTCCCTTTTCTAGGGGCCCTCAGTTTTTATTGCTGCCATCTTTATGTCTGTAAGTACCCAATGTTTAGCTCCCACTGATAAGTGAGGACTTGCAGTATTTGGTTTTCTGTTCCTGAGTGAATTCGCTTAGGATAATGAATGCCAGCTGCATCCATGTTGCCGCAAAGGACATACTTTCATTCTTTCTTATGGCTGCATACTATTCTGTGGTGTTTACGTACCAGGTTTTTTTAATCCAATCCACTGTTGATGGACACCTAGGTTGATTCCATATCTTTGTTTTGTTTTTTGTTTTTGTTTTTGTTTTGTACTCCCAGGCTGGAGTACAGTGGCACGGTCTCAGCTCACTGCAACCTCCATCTCCCAAGTTCAAGCAATTCTCCTCTGTCAGCCTCCTGAGTAGCTGGGATTACAGGTGTGAGCCACTGCACCTGATGAATTCCATGTCTTGCTATTTTGAATAGCACTGTGATGAACATACATGTGCATGTGTCTTTTGGTAGAATAATTTCTTTTCCTTTGGGTACATACCCAAGAATGACATGGCTGGGTCAAATGGTAGCTCTGTTTTAACTTCTTTGAGACATCTCCAAACTGCTTCCACGGCACCTGAACTAATTTACTTTCTAGCAACCGTGCATAAGCATTCTGTTTTCTCTGCAGCCTTGCCAGAATCTGTTGTGTTTTTTTTCTTTGTTTGCTTGTTTTTGCCTTTTTAGTAATAGCCATTCTGACTGGTGTGAGATGGTATTTCAATGTGGTTTTGATTTGCATTTCTCTGATGATTAGTAATGTGGAGCATTTTTTATGTTTGTTGGCCGCTTGTATGTCTTCTTTTGAGAAGTGTCTATGTCTTTTTTTACAACAGAATTTTTAATGGATATGTAGTATTCCATCGAGTCTGCCATAATGGACTCCTCCACTTGCCAACTGTTGGAAATGTGTGTCATTTCCAGTTTGTTTGTTTGTTTTATTCTAAACAGGCCTAAAATGAAGATCCTCCATTATCCTTTATTATTTCCTCAGCATAAATTGCTAAAAGTAAAATTGCCATATAATGGAGATACATAATTCACAGCTTTTGATGTATATTGCCAGCTTGCCCTCGAGAAACAGTAAACCAATTTAAGGCAGGTTGGTTTTCTAATGACTGCTATACCATGTACTGTGTATTTGGGAAAACAGAAAACAAAAAGTTCCTCTAGCCTCATGGGCCCCTCTCTGCACTTGAAACCATAGCATCTTCTCGGGCAGGTACTGAGCCTCCTGCCTCCCAGGTGCCCAGGCAGCAATTCCACGAATGCAGCTGACTGTCCTGATATGGAATAAAGATTTGTATGGCAAGAGAAACGCTTAATTTCCACTATTTTTATTAAGGGCAGCTTCTTGAGATTCTCTGAACAGGGCTAATTTCCATTTTCTGAGAACTCAATAACCCTCTCTCTCCAACACAGAAAAAAAAATCAAAACAAAATATAAACTCCTTAGAGAACTCCTCTCTGACCTCTGCAAAGATTTAATGATAGAGTGGAAGCAACGTATTAAACTACTTCAACAGCTTAACCACACAGCATACCTGTGCATTTGCCTCACACGAATCAGGGCTGCAGCTGAGTCTGTCCGAGTGAACACAGGGGCACCCCTTCATGATGCCCCTTGTTGACTTTTCTTTTTTCCAAAGTCACAAAGTTGAATCAAAACAACTCTACCAACACCTCATAATATTAGTGTGTTTCTTCACGCAGGATACCTTCGTGAAGATTTTCTGCATTTGCTTTTTCTCTGAATGATCTAAGCTGCAAGCATTCTGACGCCTGGAGATGACAGTTTTGAATGTTAAGTTTATTCTTGACATCTTCTTGTCCTTCTGTTCCTAGTCCTCTTTTTAATGATGGACCCACAGATTCCTAATATTTCTTCTAAGCTCCTTAGTCTCCCCAGAAGCCATGCTTCAGATCTTACGGTGGCTGTTATTTGGGAGGTGGTCAGAGGAAGGGCTGCCCTCCACTGACAGCATGGTACAGATGCTCACCTGGCCGGCTGCATTTCCTGGCCTGCACATCGAAGGCATCCTTCACAGCTGCTTCAATAATGTCGAAGGGCGTATACTTTACTCAGCGGGGGGCACAGTCTGGTGAAAAATAAATGGGCTTGCAGTTAAGACTTGATCATCACGGATCATCATGGGCCCTGTAGAGCATAGATGTTATATGGGGGCAGCAGTTCTAATATTTTTAGATTAGAAGAGGAAACAATGAAAGGCAAAATGTGACTTTTACAGTGTGAGGCTTTAGACAAGATGCAATACTTAGGTGTGGCTTCTGTCTACCTCTCGCCTGTGTGTGCTAGTGGTCCCTCAAAATCCCAGCTTAGATGTGGCCCACGGTGGCAACTCTGGTGTCTCTCCAATGCAGCAAATTTCTGGCTCTGAGAACCACTGCCTGCTCCACTGCTATGACTCTGCAGTACCTAATTTAAACTCCCTTGACTTTCAATGCGCAGGAGACTCTCATTGACCCAACTTATTTTTTTTTCTCTTGTGAAGCAACTCAGAGTTTGTGGGCTCAAGGCTGGACCTCACTGTGGTCTGGTCAGCTGGAGTCAGAAACTATAAGGGAGAAGTGGTTCCTATTAGGCCAACTCTTCCATGTGGGAGGGATTTGAGAGGAGTCGCCTTACTTAGAAAGTACTTGTGCTGCCAGAAAGGCCTCCATCTATGAATTAATATTCTAGCAGGGAGGAGAGGAAAAGAAATTTGAATAACCCAGACAGCCCAAGCGGGAACTGGATCTGCCCCACACGAGTTCTCCACGAAAGAGGGGTAGAAGGAGATGGGTTTTACAGAGACAAGCGCCTTCTCCAAGTGAGAGGTTCCACCCGGAGTCTCACAAACCTTAGCAGTGCCTGGACTGTCTTCACACTGAAGTGCCTGCTCATCTGAAAAGCCAGGAAGCAAGCACAGGCTCCCCACGGGGAATCTCCAGACACAAAGGGATCCCTCCTCTCACCCATCCCTGCATTGTCTTCCAGAACATCTGGAGGTGTGTGCCTGGGAGGAGGGCAGAGCTGAACCTGACTCACCTGAAGAGCTGGGCGGCAAGGCTGCTGTGCAGGCAGCAGTTTTCATTCCCCTGGAGTGCTCACTCTTCAGGAGACAACTGAGACCCCTCCTCCTTTTCTTCCTCATCCCTTTGGTGCCTTCTTTGCAGAGAAGCAGCTTACAGCTCCCTCTCAATGGCGGGGCCTCAGCTGATTTGCCCTTGCACTTACGGGAGCTCTGAGATAACGAGCTGGCTGCAAAGCTTAAGGAATCATCAGAAATGGAGGCTCAAAATCCTTCCTGAGTAGCCAGACTGACTGCTAGATGCCTCAGCACACTGGGAGCGACGCTAGGCTGAAGGCAGTTCTGAGGTTTAGGGCACAGGGGCAGGGTAGATGTCTGGTCCTCGTGGACTTTTCCAGGCCGTCCTTTTTTTCACCAAATAGTACACACTGGGCATGGCCCATGGCACCATCAGGGAAAGCACACCCTCTCCCCACTGCTGGGAGCCCTGCATCTCCACCATTAAGTCTCCCAAGGTGAACCAAGGCCTGCAGATATAGCTCTCAGAGCCCCACAGGTCCATGCCCTGTGCAGAGATCTTCCGCCCCCACTGTGGTCAGCCATCGGCTGCTCTGCCAACCACAGCAATCTTCAGCTGAGGCTGTGTAGGGAAGAGGCTGTGGGGCAGAGGCCAAGCTGTGGACTTAGATAGCCCGGGTTCAAATCCTTGTTCTGTGTCATAGGGAAGTCACTTAGCCTGTTTCCTTACCTGTAGAAATGGCTAAAATACCATCCCTTCAGAATTAAAGGATTAAATTCTGCCCAGATTAAAGGAGATAATGGGTGCAAATGGCTTCACACAGATAGTGCTTGGTGTAGTTAGGCTGAATCAGCAGCTCTCATTCATCATTCATTTATCCACACACACACATTATCGTAGGCACTTTCTATGTGGCAGGCACTGGGCTAGGTGCTAGGATGCGGAGAAATCAGACAAATAAACAATTACTTTTACTGCAGTACACAGAAGCACTGAGTGTGGTGCAAATATATGAAAAAGACTTCTAATTCAGGTTGGGGAAGGAAACCAAGGAATGCTTCCAAGAGGAGGTGGGAGGAGTAAGCCAGGAGAAGAGGGTTGGTGGGAGAAAAGGGCATTCTTGGCAGAGGGAGCAGCATGTTCCAAAGCCCAGGGGGTTATGAGAGTCTCCTGTGCTGCGACCCACAAGGCCACAGCCCTGGCTGCCACCTAACATCACGGGAGCTGATTGTTTTCTCTGCGAATTTGAAGGTCGGCAGTGTATCCGTGCATACGATTTCTGATATCAACACACATAGAATGCTATTAGGTTCAAATGCTTCCAAACCAGTGCCTCACAGAGGAAGCCCTTGCTGACAGTGGACATCTGTGGCCTAGAGGAATCCAGTACCGGTGATGGGGACCTGGTTTTAAATTTAATAACCTTTTTACTCTCCGGAGGATAGTTTCTGTTCAGGCTTGCCGCCCTCAGAGTCACGTTAATTTGCACACAGCATAGACACTCAGGTTTGTTTTTACCTAGAGCAGGTGATAATAAATAGATGAGGCCGAAAAATTCTAATTGGCTAAAGGTAGTTAGACTGAAGGAGAAAATACAAGTAAAAATCCTTACAAGCTACCCAGTTTCATGTGTTACCAGGTGATGCCTCCAGCTGGAGCACTCCAGCCAAGTCATTCAGGATAACAGACAGGCTGAAGTTTCAATGACTCATCTTTGCAATAGCAGGGTCAAGACCAGAGGTTAAGAGACATGTTTTAATTTAATAAACCATCTGTAAGAAACGCAAGGTTTTCAGTTTAGCGTCTTTGGCTTCCCTATCTAAATACATTTACATTAAGGCCCAGCACATCTCTCATTAAAATCTAAATTGTATTCAAGACTCACATACAAAGAATGGCACTGAGTTTTGTGAAGACCTAGCCCACTAGTTCCTATTTGAAAGCTCTTTAACTCTTCCCTCTCCGATACACCATTTTCCATTTTTCACCAGGGTGGCAGTAACCTTGCTATGAATATAACTAGGGCTCATTTCTCCTCCCAGCAGATTTAACTGTCACTTCATAAAAATAGTCAGAAATCTTCAAATGATTCATCCCATCAGCAGCATAACAATAGCTTAGAAACATGCTAGATTCTCAGACATAGCTCTTACATGTCAGAGAACAAGAAGAAAAAAATGCACCATATAGCCAATTAAGTCTACTTATAGAATACTAACTCCAGGGCTCCACTGTCCACCAGCAGTTTTCAACCCTGGATGCACATTAAGATCACCTAGGAAAGATTCAAGTCCACTAAAGGGATGGAATAACTAAAAGCAGTGAATTCTCCAGAATGATTTAGAACTATCCACCAAGTGCAACTGATACCATTTGAACTAGGTCTGTACGTTAGTGAACGGTATTGTATCAGTGTTAACATCCGGGCTTTGATAGCCGCGCTGTGGTTACGTAAGATGTTAACATTTGGAAAAGCCGGGGGAAGTATACACAGGACTGCTTTGTACTATTTCACATCTTTTTTTGGAAGTCTGAAATTATTTCAAATGAAAAGTTAAAAAAAAAATTTTTTTAAAGAAAGTAACTGGAAAAAAAAAATACCCAGGAAGCCTTTAAAAAATACCAGCGCCTCGGCCCCCTCCTCAGACCAATTAAATGGAATCACTGGGTACAGAGCCTGGGTTTCAGTATTTTTAAAACCTCTCCAGTGATTTTACTGTGTAGCTAGAATTGAAAACACTGTTCTGGTGAGGTTAAGGGTGGGTGAAGTGATTCTGATTCCAATTTTTCCAATTTTGTCATACTCTGCTCTATGACTTCAGGCAGGTCAATGAACCTCACTAAGCTTCAGTGGCCTTATCTGTTAAATGGGGAGACTAGGCTGTAGCTGAGTGTATTGATCGTGTGACAGCGAACAGAAAGTGCAGATAGAAGAGGCTTTATACAGTTCCAAGAACTGTAGAAGCAGGAGGTGTTGGTGAGTCATTTCCCGTAAAGAGAGGCCTTAACGCTTAAGAGCCCAGTACCTTTAGAATACAATGACATGGGCCAGGCCTGGTGGCTCACACCTGTAATCCCAGCACTTTGGGAGGCCGAGGCAGGCGGATCACCTGGGGTCAGTAGATCCAAACCATCCTGGCCAACATGGTGAAACCCCGTCTCTACTAAAACTACAAAAATTAGCTGGGCATGGTGGTGTGCGCCTGTAGTCCCAGCTACTAGGGAGGCTGAGGCAGGAGAATTGCTTGAACCCCAGAGATGGAGGTTGCAGTGAGCCAAGATCACGCCACCACACACCAGCCTGGGCAACAGAGTGAGACTCTGTCTCAAAAAAAAAAAAGAGAAAAAAGAAAAAAATGCAATGACATGCCAGTAAATTAATAGGGGTAGCTTAGCGGTCAAAAGGCGGGCACTTTCACTATAACCAGGGCTTCCTTTCCTTTGGTCATCTCAGCCCAACCTTGCCTCGCATCTCTGCAGCAACAAGGACATCTGTCCTTGGACCACACACCATCAGATTTCACCATCTAGGTTTTTCCTTTTCTATACTGACTTATGACCTAAAGGAGGAGGATGATCTCTATCTATTAAAAAGAACTATCTTCGATTTGTTCCTGTAACCACTTCATCTATAATAATGGTTCTTAAACTGTAGCATGCACTAGAATCACCGGAAGGGTTGAGAAAATAAATATCGCCCAGAAATGTTCATAGCAGCAATATTCCTGCTATGGTTTGAATGCCCCTCCAAAATTCATGTTGAAACTTAATCCCCAAGTTGAGAGGTGGGGCCTTTGAGAGGTGACTGAATCGTAAAGGCCCTGCCTCATGAATGCGTTAATCCATTCATGGATTAATGGGTTGATGAAACAATAGATTATTCAGGGAGGGAGACTGGTGGCTTTACAAGAGGAAGGAAGACCTGAGATAGCAGGTGGCGCCCTCAGCACCCTTGATGCCCTGCACTAACTCAGGACTCTTCACAGCGTCCCCAAGCACCAGCAGGTTCTCAGCAGATGCGTCCCTCCACCCCAACCTTGGACTTCTCTGCCTCCATAACTGTAAGAAATAAATTCCTTTTCTTTATAAATTACCCAGTTTCGGGTATTCTGATATAAGCAACAGAAAATGGACTAAGACAATTTCTAACAGCCAAAAGGTAGAAAAACCCGTGTCCACCAACTCATAAATATATATACAAAGTGTGGTATATCCAAATAATGGGACATTATTTGGCCATAAAAGGAATGAAGTACGAATACCTCCTGTAACATAAATGAGCCTTGAAAACACTATGCTCAGTGAAAGAAGCCAGACACAAAGGTCTATATTGTATTTTTCTTTTCTTTACTATTTTTTTTTCTATTTCTTCCTGGTTCAATTTTGGGAAACTATGTGAAATGGAAATTTACCCATTTCCTCTAGATTTTCTTATTTATTTATTTATTTTATTTTACTTTAAGTTCCAGGATACATGCGCAGAACGTGCAGGTTTGTTACATAGGTACACATGTGCCATGGTGGTTTGCTGTACCTATCAACACATCATCTAGGTTTTAAGCCCCACATGCATTAGGTATTTATACTAGCGCTATTCCGCCCCTTGCCCCCCACCCATCGACAGATCCCAGTGTGTGATGTTCCCCTCCCTGTGTCCATGTATTCTCTTTGTTCAACTCCCACTTATGAGTGAGAACATGCAGTGTTTGGTTTTCTGTTCTTGTGTTAGTTTGCTGAGAATGATGGTTTCCAGCTTCATCCATGTCCCTGCAAAGGACATGAACTCATCGTTTTTTATGGCTGCATAGTATTCCATGGTGTATATGTGCCACATTTTCTTCATCCAATCTATCATTGATGAGCATTTGGGTTGGTTCCAAGTCTTTGCTTTTGTGCTTTGCTATATAGTGCTGCAATAAACATATGTGTTCATGTGTCTTTATAGTACAATGATTTATAACCCTTTCAGTATATACTCAGTAATGGGATTGCTAGATCAAATGTTATTTCTGGTTCTACATCCTTGAGGAATCACCAGACTGTCTTCCACAATGGTTGATCTAATTTGTACTCCCACCAACAGTGTAAAATCATCCCTATTTCTCCACGGCCTCACCAGTATCTGTTGTTTCCTGACTTTTTAATGATCGCCATTCTAATTGGTGTGAGATGGTACCTTGTTGTGATTTTGATTTGCTTTTCTCTAATGACCAGTGATGATGAATTTTCTTTCATCTGTTTGTTGACTGTATAAATGACTTCTTTTGAGAAGTGTCTTTTCATATCTTTTGCCCACTTTTTGATGAGGCTGTTTTATTCTTGGAAATTTGTTTAAGTTCCTTGTAGATTCTGGATATTAGCTCTTTGTCAGACGGATAGTTTGCAAAAATTTTCTCCCATTCTGTAGGTTGCCTGTTCACTCTGATGATAGTTTATTTTGCTGTGCAGGTATTTTTCTATTTATACAGAATGTCCAGAATAAGCAAATACACAGAGACAGAAAGTACATTCGTGACTGCTAGGACTGGGGAACATGGTGGGAGAGGAGGGGATACCTAAAGAGTACAGGGTTTCCTTATGAGGTAATGAAAATGTTTTAAAACTGATTGTGTTCATAATTGCATAAATCTGTGAATACAGTAAAAACCATTAAAGTGTACACTTTAAATGAGTTAATTGTGCGGTATGTGAATTACATCTCAATAAACCTGCCAAAATTTATTTCAAAGTGTATCTTCTCAAAAAAAACCCCACATATTGCTGGGCCCCAACCCCAGAGTTTCTGATTCAGTATATCTAGGGAAGAATCCAAAAATTCACATTTCTAACAAATTTCCAGGTGACACTGATGCTGCTGGTTCTGAGGACCACACATTGAGAACCACAGATCTACAGTATTCTTAGTCTGATTGCCTAATAAAATGCAGGGGGGCTCTGTGCATATCTTCTGGGTCTCTGGAGAGCTGCATTCCCCTTTTTGCTTTTATTTTCTTTTACTGAGATGGTCACAGCATGAGGAAGTAAAGTCTTCTAATTTATTTCTTGTAAGGGCAATAGACGCTCAATGCAAGACATACCCCTGAACACAGGGTCCACATTGGTAAGTGGCTTTCTCACGGTGTTGAAAAGAATTCCTCATGGCATTGATGTGACCAGCTTGGACACAAAAAGTATCCAAGAGTCTTTTCTAAACCTTTATCTTGACTGTAATTTGGAGTTAACTTATTCTTTAACTGAGGAGACCTCATTAGGTATCTTGCATTAAAATCCGTAATACTGTTATATATGCACATCTATTATCCCACAATTTCCTTTCTACAAATGTATTCTGAAGGAAGTAATAAGGATATGTGCAAAGATTTAATTGTAAGGACATTCAACATAAATGTATTCAATAGCAAAAATTTAGAAACCACTTAAATGTTTAATCACAAGAGATCAAATAAAATGATGCATCTGTTGCATGTCATTTTCTGAATAAACCTTTTACTTTAGAACCACCTTAGACTCACAGAGTCACTGTGAAGCCAGCATAGAGAGTTTCCATATGCCCCACACCCAGTTCCCCTATTATTAACATCTTACATTAGTATGGTATATTTGGCACAATTAATGAACCAATACTGATAAATTATGATTAATTAAACCACACACTTTATTCAGATTTCCTTACTTTTTACCAAATATCTTATTTGTATTCCATCCAGGATACCACATGACATTTTGTCACCATGTCCCCTAAACTCCTCTTGACTGTGACTGTTTCTCAGATATTTTTTGTTTTCAGTGACCTTGAGAGTTTGGAAAAGTACCAGTCAGGTATTTTGTAGAATATCACTCCACTTGGCTTCGTCCAATGTTCTTCCCTTAATTAAACCAGGGTCATGTATTCTGGGAGGAAGATCAGAGGCAAAGTGCCATCGTTATCACATCATATCAGAGATACACACTATCAACATGACTTGTCACTGTCAATGTCGACTTTGATCACTTGGCAGAGTTACTGTTTTTCAGGTGTTTCCACTGTAAGTTTACTCTTTCTTTTTGCTCCTTTCATACTGTACTGTTTGGAAGAAAGTCACTATGCACAGTGCACACTTCAGGAGTGGGAGTTTATGTTTCTTCCCCTTAAGGGCAGGACAACTACATGAATTATTTTGAATTCTTCTGCACAAGAGACTTGTCTCTACTCCCACATTTATTTAAATATTCAATCATTTATGTCAGTATGGACTCATGAATACTTATGTTGCATGTTGGGTTATAAGTCAGTACCACTTTATTTTGTTCCTCAAATTTTTTCATTTTTGTCCACTGGGAGCTCTTTCACTTGGCTCCTGTATTCCTTGGCATATTCTCACGCTGTGAGTTTTGCGTACGTTTCACACTCTCTTACTTTCTGGCACTACAAGATGCTGCAGGCTCATCTTGTATATATCTTTTCTGTTTGCTTGTTTTTTGTTTTCTTAGAGACAGGCTCTTGCTCTGCTGCCCAGGTTGGAGTGCAGCAGTGGCACCATCATAGCTCACAATTAACCTTGAACTCCTAGGCTCAAGAGATCCTCCCACCTCTGTTTCCTGAGTAGCTGGGACTACAGGTGTGCGCCACCACATCTGGCTAATTTTTAAAAACTTTTTGTAGAGATAAGATCTCATTAGGTTGCTCAGGCTGGTCTCTAACTTCTAGCCTCAAACCATCCTCCCACCACAGCCTCCCAAAATGCTGAGATTACAGGCATGAGCCACCATGCCCAGCCTCATCTTGTATATTTCTTGCCACAGTTCTAGAAACAGCTGTTTCTCCAATTTTTTCCTTTGTTTGGAGAATGATATTAGACATTGGAAACCAAGATTTGGGCACTAGGTGTGCTCGTTCTTACTAGATTGTATTCAATAAAATTTTAGTACGCCATTGAAAATTGTGT